CAAATTTGGCCCGCGGGCCAGAGTTTGACACCTATGCTCTAGAGCTAACTTGTCTTTAACAAGTACTGGTAGGTGGTTTAGTGACCACATACACACACCGTATTTATGCATCAGTTTTGTGTAAGTACTGTACATTAGTGTGATTACTGCACAGGAATAGCTTGACTGTGCTTTACCACAAATGCCATGCTCTTGACTATAAAGAAAAACAAATAAATAAAGGTTAAATATAAAGAAAAAGTCTTTTCAAAGTTTTATGTGTAGGCTTAGCTGGATCAGGTCTAATGAATTCAGTCAAACTTGTTGTTTAGCTGGAAAACAAGAACAAATTACTTGCTCTTTTTGCTCATGAATAAGAAATGAACACCATTAAAAATAAAGGTTGCTTTCCCAGCTTAAGTTGTGTTTTCTTTAGCTTTTGAATTTATTCTCTTCTATATTTTTCATCCTTTCATTCTTTATTCTTACAGCATGGCTTCTTCACTGGGAAAAAAGGGGGAGATTTAATATAGTTATTGTAGTGTTGTCTCTCTTTGAACTGAAGATGAAATTGCTTTTGACTTGCAAATATTTCAGACTGAATTGGGCTAAATGACTTTTGGGAAATGTCCCCGGCATACAGTGTCCTCCTCTTTCTCCTCTCTAAAGGTTAATAGTATCTGCTCTCAGTGAATGAGTCAGTGGACTTTACTATGCCGTTCAGTGACAGACGAGGTTTGGTTGGAGCGTCTCTTTTTCTCCCTTCGGGTGGAATAGAGTCAGCAGGCCAAGTCTTGTTCTGGTGGGCATTGATACATGCAGCATAGAGAAGCCTTTAAAGAAGATGAAAGCAGTGGAAGAATGAATAGCCGGCAAATTAAAATAAATTGAACATGAAATACAGTAGCATGTGCTTCTGTGGGATTTGAATGAATGACCTCAAGTCGGCTGTGCTTGACTAGAAAGTTGAGCTACTGCAGACAGATTTTATTAAATGCAATAGGTGTTTTACTAAATTAATTATCTCTTTCTCCTTGTCGCTTTCCGCAGGTACGGAGACATGGTTCCTAAGACGATTGCGGGGAAGATCTTTGGTTCAATCTGCTCTCTGAGCGGGGTGCTGGTAATTGCCCTGCCTGTCCCTGTCATCGTGTCCAACTTTAGCCGCATCTATCACCAGAACCAGAGAGCAGACAAGCGGCGGGCGCAGAAGGTACAGGTGAACACAGTTTTATTCCTCTTCAGCGGGGTCCCAGAGGGTTGGATCTCCAGACCTCCAGCCCACAGGGGAGCTCTGACATCTCTCTCACCCCTCAGAGGAGGGGAGGACTCCACAGGGTTCAGGTCATCCCTTTAAGATTAACGTGTTTGTATAATTTACATTGACTGACAGTATTTTCACATTAGCAGTAGTATGCAGTACCCACTGCTCCCAGTGAGTATTGTCAAACTTTAATAGTCTGTCTGATATGCAAACTGAAATTCTCTATTTCTCCATTAACTTAATAAATAGATTCACTTTGGGGGGATTCTTTCCTCCAGAGTATTTATATCTTCTCTCGTCTTTTTGTGCAACATTAAGTAGATATTCTCATGCTCCTGCAGGTCAGTGACCTCCTTACACTGGATAAAATTACCCTTCCCTAAATCTCATACAAGGCATTTCAGTCCTGTGAAGCTGTTTTTCCCCCCACAGCTGCATTTATTTACCTTTATGAACGTCCCGTATTTGATTTAAACTCTAATGTCATTTTCCGCATGGCAGTTTGGCTGTATATCATGATAAATTATGAAAGAGGAGGGGTTATACTTTTTCAGTTTCGATAGCCCTAGGAGTAAGTTTGTCAGGCCAAATTGTTTTATGAGTCATTTCATTTTTAGAGTCCAGTCACAGCACAACTTCTTTTCTGTGTTGCCTCTTGGATGTTTGTAGCTGTTTTTCCTGGAGCGAGGAGTTCAGCCACCCAGTCACATGCATCCTCTGGGGGATCCTGTCTGTCCCTCTGTCTTCGATTCCTCTCCACAAGTGGTTTTTTTTCTTCTTTTAAATAAATGTAGCAAGTCTCTGACTTTCATAATTGATCTGTGGACAGGCTAAGGTTGTTGAGTGTATTTAATATGGTAGCCATATGTAGGCCAATTTCATAAGCCACCTAGGGTCAGAAAACAGTTTTGGAACATCTGGTATAATATCCCTCATTAACTCAGAGGTCTCGAACAGCCACTGCAAAGTTTTCCCTCAGGACAGCCGCAGTGCTGCTGAGTGAAAACGTGCGAGACTGGCCAAGCAAACGTGACTGTAATAATCTCGATTTTACAAATTTCGCAGCGATCACATCGCCTCAAAGTTAGGCTCTGGCTCCAAACGTTACTTTGCAAACTCTTTCGACAGGCGTCACGATGATGTAAGGGGTTGTGACACGTAAAATGCTGCAAGAATCAGAATAGGACATTGTCTGGATTTTTCTTTTCTTACATGAAGCACGCTGAGAGATAGGATGTGTCAGCCAGGTTTGGATTAGACTGCCTGAGCAGAGCATGAGAGTGACAAGAGACACAGGGCGACCGCTCGCTCCTGGTCAATTACTGCGCTATTCTCACATCAGCTCAAATCAGCACAATGGGACATTACATGGAGTTTATGTTAGGGGACTAGAAGGTTAAGGACTGTTTAGCGTCTGATCTGACAACACTGGCCTTTAGCATTCTCACATGTACTTTAACAGGTAGTGCATAGAAAGGATCGTGGCTGGAGTCCAAACAAAGGGGCAAATGTGTGAAAACGTTTAGAGATTTTTGCCTGCTCCTTTATTCAGAAGGATTCGTCACCGTGGCAGGTTTGGCAGATTTTTATGCCAGATGCAATTCCTGACATAATTCCAAAGGGATTAATTTCTCCGCCAGGGAAAAGAATCAATTAAATCAAACTTTTAAATCTGTTTACATTTTAAGGTTTTTGTAATAATGGTCATTGTAACAAATGATAAGATTGACTTTGATGTTGCCTTGTTTAAACTCTGGGAAGTGTTATTCACTTGGCTGTATCATTAATAACACATTTATTATGGCAGTATTAACAGATCGATTGTATAAACACCAGACAAAAATCATTTTCCATCTCTAACGCCAAACTTCTGCATTAGTATGAGATTTATTAACATAAATAAAGGCTCTGGGTGCAACATACAATATAAAACTTTCATAAAGTATTATTGTTATTATGATTAGTGACACCAGAGTGAAAATTAAACATCTTACGGTTGGTGAATCCTGCTCCCATTGTGAAACAAATCTGATCAAATCACAAAAATTCGTCCTAAAGACAAAGATTATTTGACTTTTTGTGCATTTGAATTATCAGTATTATAGTAATTTGAGGGTGAAAAAGCAAGATTTTCAGAGGTTTTAAAGCCACGTTAATGAGTTTTTTCATTGCCCCCTGGATATCCATGGCCTGCATTAATTTTATGTTCACCCAGGATGAGCTCTTATTATTATGTAAAATATCAGTTCCCTCAAGCCAAAGTAGTCCTTTAAATCCACAAGCTAAATGTTATCATTACTCAAATCTCATCCAAAAACCCAATCCTAAATCCTAAGATAGCCTGTCAGAGAAGTGAATATCAGCATTTTCCCCTCTTTGCATAATTTTCTCTTTCAGTCCGTCCTTGTGAGATTTCACCCTTGTAAGTATAGCAATAAAAAACACTCAAAAACAGATTTATAGAAACTTAAATGGTAGATGGTTTAAAGATCCTGTCTAGCCTGGTCTTTAGACCTTTGTAAAATCGTGATGTGTCTGTGAGTGAAACTGGGTAGCAGCATCGGCTGGCTCACAAACAAAACTGGGCCAGTAATCATAGTCTGCGGGCAAAGCTGACCATTTCTATTCTCGTGAGATAGATAGTGGTTTATTTGGAGCTGGCAAACATACAGTGCACACACTGACACATATTTTCAGAGTCCATTCCTTTCTCTCATCACTGCCATTCACACCTCTCCAACTAAGGCTTTTTCCCTCACACCCTTCACTTGTTTGTTAGACCTTTTCACTCATCTCTACTCCCCTGCCTCCATCCATTACCACTAACCCCTCCCTGTCCCCCTTTTTCTCTCACCCTCTCTGTGATTAATGCAATCCATCTCAGCACACATTCTCTAAATCTGTTTAAAGTTCTGCAACTGTGGGCTGCCCACCACCCAGTCTTAACTAACTGTAAGCTTGTCTGCTGAGCAAGCCTCCGTGGTGACATGACCGCAGGTGCAAGGATGAAAAGAGACAAAGAGAAGATGGAAGGATGGCTGAAAAGTCAGAAAATTAGCCAGAAAAGCAGTTTGAGAGGATGAAATGTATAGGTGAGGAAAAGAGAAAAGCAGAGGAGCAGTGAGGAGGAAGGCCAGAGGGTGAGCAGGGGAAGCAGAGGGAGCATAGGCAGAGGGTAGAGCTGGAGGCAGTGTTTGTCCCGACGCTGTGTTCTTTCCTGAAATAGCTATTACCCAGATGAGATGCTTGCTGGAAGGAAGGTGTATGTCTGTTTGCATATCGTTAGCTTCATAGCATAAGTGCCTAAGTCATTTTTTGGTCAAATTGAGATTTTTGCCTAACTTTACTCCCCTACCACTGCTGCATCATCCTGTCCGTCTGCCTATGTCATCACAAAAAAATGACTTAGGCACTTATGCTATGAAGCTAACGATATGTGCACATCCACATCTGTATGCATATACGTGCATGTCTGGGTGCAAAAGCCATATTTCCTGTCAGGCGTTAATCTGAGTGACCTTAGCTGTTCTCTGAGCTGCATTGTGGTGCAGTGTCCCGAACATCACCCAGTACAAGACCCCCATAGTACCCACCAACAGACCACTGTAGCATGACAGTGCTGTTCTCATTAACTAGTACTAAATGACTCCTTCAGGCACTTGATATCTCTTTGGCTTGCCTGCTGTGAGGTCAGCGATTTGCTCAAGCACCCCTACATCCCATAGACAGCTTTTCTCCTTTTTATAACAGCATGACTAAAAAGTCTTATCAGTGCTTTCATAATGATATTGCACCTGGATGCTTTAATCCTCAAGAGAGTTATTACTATGGTAAAATCAAGGTCTAAGTGCCAAAGATGATGATAGATTTGCATATTTTTTTTGAGCATTTAGGAGATGCAGTCTGCACCATCCCTGCCTTTAATTAGCACATGGGATTAAGTGTTGCTCAGCATTTAAGCTTTTGTTCTCAAAATCAATGGAGTATCTCCTGAATTACATATTGTGCAAGCTTTAGTGGGAGATGTTGTTGAGATGATTTCACGTTCCCAGATAGTGTTTAAATAAGGCCGCCTTTCCTGCCTGCCTTGTAAATAGAGTCCCAGAGAGCAGCCATTTGGCTTTTGTACCTTTAAAACCCGCCTTCCAGCCAAATGGCTGGTAGGTGTTTAGCTAGGGTTTAGCTTCAGCCAAGTGGAAGCTAGTCATTCATATGTAAATTAGGTTGTTACCTGAGAATTCTGGAGGGGAGTGGGGGTGTGTGAATGAGGGGGGGAGGGGGGGGGCAGCTAAAAGCTGTGAACTTCCTTTTGTGTTCGTCTTGATGCATTCTCAATCATCCAGGGAAATAAATCTCCAAAAGTCACCAACTTGGAGTGGTTAGTTTCCTGAGCCACAAGGAAACTTGGAGTGTTTCAGTTTGCCATCTTAGGGAGAAATCAACACACATGGGTGTATGTCCTTTGTTGCTGAGATTTATTGATAAAAACAGTACAAAAAACAACCATTTGTACACATATTTACAAATAATAATAAAAAGTGAGTGAGTACAATTCAACATTTTCAGCAATCACTCACAATCCTGGCACTGCCATGGTATCTGTAGTCTGCATTTACCACATGTGTATCTGTAGCAGTGAACACATCGCACTAAAGAATGTAGCATCATGGGCAGTGTAGTCCGTGTTGCAGGGAGAATGGACTGCCATACACGTTATGGGTCTGGGAGCGCGAGGAGGGAGAAAAAGGGGAGTGGAAAGGTACGAGTTGTCATCGAGGAAAAACGGGAGCTGGAAGCATGTAAATATAATAATAACCACTGCAGCCAAGAAGAGAGCCTGACGAGCCCAGTTGTAAGTAAGCTATTAAGACTCGACTGTACACTGTGTTCGTGTTTTCCTCCAAAAACAATAAGTTGCGTTGGAGCAGCCTTTCAATGCCTCTCTCTGTCTCTGC